TGGGCTGGAATTCCCAGATTTGCTGTAGGATCCCTGGCAGTGTCCAAAGCCAGCTTGGATGGACTTGGATCCACCTGGAGCAGTGGGATTTTGGAGCAGCTCCTTGTTTGGGGTCACGGATGGGTTTTGGAGATGCCAAACCTGATCCATGGGCTCATCATGCCCATCCTCGAGGATTAAAATCCCACTGAGGGATTTTCCCGAATTCCTTCTCCTCCTGGATTGCTGGATGGGGAATATTTGGAGTGAGAGTTCTGGGAATGTCCATCCTGTACGGGTTCACGCCGGCTCTTCATTAAGGTAGCGCTAATTAGATGGGTCTTGGGGCTGCCTGGGTCTTCTTCAGCCCCACCACTGCGGGTTGGGGATCCGCAATTCCCAGGATTCGGCTGCTCCAGGGGATGGGACAATTCTGTGTCAGGTCACTGTGCCCAAAACCATCCGAGTGGTCAGCAGGGAGTGACCAGAGGGGTCAGTGGCATGGGGACACAGCTCTGGGGTCAGTGGCATGGGGACACAGCTCTGGGGTCAGTGGCATGGGGACACAGCTCTGGGGTCAGTGGGATGGGGACACCATCCTGGAAACCTGGCTCTGTTCCCAAAACCAATCCAATGGTCAGCAAGGAGTGACCAGTGGGGTCAGTGGGACAGGGACACCAGCCCTGGGGTCAGTGGGATGGGGACACCACCCTGGGGACAGACATTGTTCCCAAAACCATCCCAGTGGTCAGCAGGGAGTGACCAGTGGGGTCAGTGGCATGGGGACACTGCTCTAGGGTGAGTGGCATGGGGACACCAGCCCTGGGGTCAGTGGGATGGGGACACCAGCCCTGGGGTCAGTGGCATGGGGACACAGCTCTGGGGTCAGTGGCATGGTGACACCACCCTGGGGACAGACATTGTTCCCAAAACCATCCCAGTGGTCAGCAGGGAGTGACCGGTGGGGTCAGTGGGATGGGGACACAACTCTGGGGTCAGTGGGACAGGGACACCAGCCCTGAGGACCGTCTGTGCCTGGTGGCAGCGAGTGCCTCGATGTCCCCGCACGGGTGTCACAGATGTCCCCGAGGGGAGGCACAGGCCAGCAGTGTCCGACGGTGGCGGGAGGCGATGTCCCCGCATTGTCGGTGTCCCCGATGTCCCCGCGGTGTCGGTGTCCCCGAGGTCCCCGCGGTGTCAGTGTCCCTGATGTCACCGCAGTGTCGGTGTCCCCGGTGTCCCCGATGTCCCCGCGGTGTCGGTGTCCCCGATGTCTCCGCGGTGTTGGTGTCCCCGATGTCCCTGATGTCCCCGCGGTGTCGGTGTCCCCAATGTCCCCAATGTCCCCGCGATGTCGGTGTCCCCGGTGTCCCCGCGGTGCCAGTGTCCCCAAAATCCCCGGTGTCCCCGCGGTGTCAGTGTCCCCAAAATCCCTGGTATCTCTGCAGTGTCGGTGTCCCCAGTGTCCCCGATGTCCCCGCGATGTTGGTGTCCCCGGTGTCCCCGCGGTGTCGGTGTCCCCGGTGTCCCCAGTGCCCCCACGGTGTCGGTATCCCCGGTGTCCCCGCGGTGTCGGTGTCCCCGATGTCCCCGCAGTGTCGGTGTCCCCGGTGTCCCCAGTGCCCCCACGGTGTCGGTGTCCCCGGTGTCCCCACGGTGTTGGTGTCCCCGATGTCCCCGCGGTGTCGGTGTCCCCGGTGTCCCCCGGTTCCCTCAGCTCCCCCCGTGCCCCACACTCCGCTCGCTCCACTCCTTTGTCACCGCCGTGTCACCGCGGGCCCGGCGTGTCCCCAGGGAGCCGCCGGTGGCTCCGGGACGAGCCCGGCACCGCTGGCCCGGCCGCTCGGGGTCCCTCCGTGCTCTAACCCGAGTGTCTTCCCACCCGTGTCCTTCCCTCACCCCGTGTCCGTCTGTCCGTCCCTCCCGCCTCTCTCTGTCTCTCGCTCTGCCTCTCCTGCCCCTCTGCTCTGCCAGGGAGGGAGGGAAGGGGGGAGGTGACTCCCGAGGGGGGGTTTAGGGTGGGCAGGGGCAGTTTTGGGGTGCGGGGCTCAGCCTGGATTCCCTCCTGACCTCGGCCAGGGGCAGTTTTGGGGTGCGGGTGTCCCCAGCTGGGTCTGTACCCAGCAGATCAAAGTCACCAGAAGCCACCCTGTCCCCTCACGCGTCACCCTGAGCCCCGGCCAGGAAAGGGTTCGCAGTCGGGGACAGGAATTTGGGGTTCAGGAGAGTCCAGCCGGCCCCAGCTCAGCATTCCCGGGAAAAGCAGCGCAGGGAAAGCCGAGCACGGCATGGGGGGGCTCAGCCCCGAGCTCTGGGCTCCTTCCCCAGGCTCCTGTCCCCAAGGTCCCATCCCTGGGCTCCTGTCCCAAGTCCCACCCCTGGGATCCCATTCCTGGGACAGGAACCTGGAATCCTTGGGGTCCCAACCCTGGGATCCCATTCCTGAGGTGCCACCCCTGGGATCCCAGGCCTGGACTCCTGTCCAAAATCCCATCCCTGGGATCCCATCCGTGGGATCCTGTTCTAGGGACAGCAGCCTGGGGTCCTTGGGGTCCCATCCCTGGAATTCCATCCCTGAGGTCCTGTCCCTGGGCTCCTGTCCCCAGTCCTATCCCTGGCATCCCAAACCTGTGTTCCCATCCCAAGTCCCACTCCTGGGGTCCCATCCATGGGGATTCATCCCCAGGCTCCCAACCTTGGACTTCTTTTTTGAGTCCCATCCCTGGGATCCCATTCCTGGGGTCCCATTCCCGGGATCCCTCCCATCCCTGCGATCCCAATCCTGGGCTCCTGTCCCAAATCCCATCCTGGGTTCCCATTCCTGAGGTACCGTCCCGGGATCTCATCCCTGAGGTACCATCCTGGGATCCCATCCCTGTGCTCCTGTCCCAAATCCCATCCCTGGGATCCCATTCCTCAGGTCCCATCCCTAGGATCCCATCCCTGGGTCCCATTCCCGGTCTCCAGTCCCAGGTCCCATCCCTGGTCTCCAGTCCCAGTTCCCATCCCTGGTCTCCAGTCCCAGTTCCCGTTCCCGGCCTCCAGTTCCCAGGTCCCATTCCCGGCCTCCAGTCCCAGGTCCCATTCCCGGTCTCCAATCCCAGGTCCCATTCCCAGTCTGAAATCCCAGGTCCCATCCCTGGTCTCCAGTTCCCAGGCCCCATTCCTGGTCTCCAGTTCCCAGGTCCCATCCCTGGTCTCCAATCCCAGGTCCCATTCCCGGTCTCAAATCCCAGGTCCCATTCCTGGTCTCAAATCCCAGGTCCCACTCCCGGCCTCCAGTCCCAGGTTCCATCCCTGGTCTCCAATCCCAGGTCCCATTCCCGGTCTCAAATCCCAGGTCCCATTCCTGGTCTCAAATCCCAGGTCCCATTCCCGGTCTCCAGTTCCCAGGCCCCATTCCCGGTCTCAAACCCCAGGTCCCACTCATGGTCTCCAATCCCAAGTCCCATTCCTGGCCTCCAGTTCCCAGGTCCCATTCCCGTCTTCCAATCCCAGGTCCCATTCCCGGTCTCCAGTCCCAGGTCCCATTCCCGGTCTCCAGTCCCAGGTCCCATTCCCGGTCTCCAGTCCCAGGTCCCATTCCCAGTCTCCAATCCCAGGTCCCACTCCCGGTCTCCAATCCCAGGTCCCATTCCCGGTCTCCAGTTCCCAGGTCCCATTCCCAGTCTCCAGTCCCAGATCCCATTACCAGCCTCAAATCCCAGGTCCCATTCCCGGTCTCCAGTTCCCAGGTCCCACTCCCGGTCTCCAGTCCCAGGTCCCATTCCCAGTCTCAAATCCCAGGTCCTATCCCTGGTCTCAAATCCCAGGTCCCACTCCCGGTCTCCAGTCCCAGGTCCCATTCCCGGTCTCAAATCCCAGGTCCCATTCCCAGTCTCCAATCCCAGGTCCCATCCCTGGTCTCAAATCCCAAATCCCATCCCTGGTCTCCAATCCCAGGTCCCATTCCTGGTCTCCAATCCCAGGTCCCATCCCTGGTCTCAAATCCCAAATCCCATCCCTGGTCTCCAATCCCAGGTCCCATTCCTGGTCTCCAATCCCAGGTCCTATTCCCGGTCTCCAGTCCCAGGTCCCATCCCTGGTCTCCAGTCCCAGGTCCCATCCCTGGTCTCCAATCCCAGGTCCCATTCCCAGTCTCAAATCCCAGGTCCCATTCCTGGTCTCAAATCCCAAGGTCCCATTCCCGGTCTCCAGTCCCAGGTCCCATTCCCGGCCTCAAATCCCAAGTCCCATCCCTGGTCTCCAATCCCAGGTCCCATTCCTGGTCTCCAATCCCAGGCCCCATTCCTGGTCTCCAATCCCAGGTCCAATTCCCGATCTCCAGTCCCAATTCCCATCCCTGGTCTCCAATCCCAGGTCCCATTCCCGGTCTCAAATCCCAGGTCCCATTCCCGGTCTCCAGTCCCAGGTCCCATCCCTGGTCTCCAATCCCAGGTCCCATTCCTGGTCTAACATCCCAGGTCCCATTCCTGGTCTCAAATCCCAGGTCCCATCCCTCATTTCCAGTCCCAGGTCCCATCCCTGGTCTCCAGTCCCAGGTCCCATTCCCAGCCTCAAATCCCAGGTCCCATTCCCAGTCTCAAATCCCAGGTCCCACTCATGGTCCCCAATCCCAGGTCCCATTCCCGGTCTCCAGTTCCCAGGCCCCATTCCCAGTCTCCAATCCCAGGTCCCATCCCTGGTCTCAAATCCCAGGTCCCACTCATGGTCCCCAATCCCAGGTCCCACTCCCGGTCTCCAACCCCAGTTCCCATCCCAGTTCTCTCATTCCCATGTCCCCCCGCAGCTCGGGCCCCTCTCCCGGCCGGAATTCTCCCTTTGGATCCCCGGGCGGGCGGATCTCGCTTGGCCGGTCGCTCTAACCCATCTCTCTCTTTCTCTCTCTCACCTCTCACTCTCTCCTGCCTCTCGCCTCTCTCCCCCCGGTCCCCCCGCGCTCTCTTTCCGTCCGTGCCTCCCCTTCCCCCCACTTTTCCCACCCCAAACCCCAAACCCCAAACCCCAAACCCCCTCCCCAGGTCAAGGTGTGGTTCCAGAACCGCCGCACGAAGCAGAAGAAGGACCAGAGCAGAGACTCTGAGAAACGTTCCTCGGGCACCTCCGAGTCCTTGGCCACCTGCAACATCCTGCGGCTGCTGGAGCAAGGCCGCCTCCTGTCCGTGCCGGCGCCCCCGACCCTCCTGCCCCCCACTTCCAGCCCGGTGCCGGTCGCCAGCCCCGCGTCCCCGCCGCCCTTCGGCCTGCGCCTCCCTCCTCCTCTGGCCGCCTCCTCCTCATCCTCCTCATCCTCATCGCCGTCGCCGCGGCTGCCGGGGAGGCCGCTGTGTTTTGGGGGGCCGCTGCTGGGCGGGCTGCACGATCTGCCCGCTTCTTACCCACCCGGAGCGTCCTCCGCGTTCGAGCCTTACACGCGGCTGGAGAGGAAGGACAGTTCTGTACCCAGCGAGAAGCCGAGCCCTTAAAAACAAAAACAAAACAAAAACCCGAAAACAAAAACAAAAACAAAAACAAAAACAAAGACAAAAACAAAGACAAAAACAAAGACAAAAACAAAAACAAAAACATAAAACACAAAACATAAAACACAAAACAAAAACAAAAACAAACCAAAACAAAAACAAAAACAACAACAAAACAACAGAAACAACAACAAAAACAACAACAAAACAACAACAAAAACAAAACAACAAAACCAACAATAAAACAAAAACAACAACAAAAAATAACAAAAACAACAATAAAACAGCAACAAAACCAGAACCAACAACAAAAACAAAAACAAAACCAACAACAAAAACAACAACAAAAACAACAACAAAACAAACAACAAAAAACCACCAAAAAAACAAACAAACAAAAAAAGAAGCAAACCCAAAAAAACCCAAATCCCCCCAAAAAACAGTGTCAAAAAGTGTCACCCCCGCCGCCACCCCAAGCCCAGATCGTTCCTCCCCAAACTGGGAATTCCCGCTGGGAATGGCGGCTCCCCCCTGACCGGCAGAGTCGCGGGTGTCACCAGGGTGGAGCTGGTGTCGCTCCGAGGTGTCGCTGTCACCGGGGCTGTCCCCAAATCCCCGCTCCAGGTGTTTGCGGGAGGGGACAGCAGCAGCGGGGGGTGGCGCTGGCCTGGGTGTCTCTTCTGGGGGGACAAAAGGGACAGCGAGAGGTGGCGCCCGGCTCTGTCCCCGCGGTGTCCTCGGAGAAGGGCCGTGCCTCAGTTTCCCCACCTGTGCCGGGCTGGGGTCACCGCGGTGAGCGTGGGGTGGCGGCGCTGCTCCCGGGGTGGCGGGTGATTGTCCCCAGTTTGGCCTGGGTGATGTCCCCAGGTGTTGTCCCCAGGTTGCCACCACCCCTGGGACACCCCCAAACCCCGCCCTGTCCCTTTCTGGGACCCCCCCGAGGGGCTGTGGATCACTGTCCCACCCCGCTGGGTGACAGCGGTGACAGTGGCATCCCGGGGGGTCTTTGCCAGCAGCGCCCCCAAACCCACCCTGGGGTGGCACCGTCCTGCCACTGGCACCCGCCACACGCCCCTTGTCACCTGCCACAGCCAGGGTCCCTCCCCAGCTCCCAGGGGGTGACAGTGGCTTCCTGCGGGGCCACTCGGGCTGAGGGTGGGGTTGGGGACCAGGGGGACTTGGCATGAGGTGGCCCTTGGGGACAGGAGCAGCTACTGGAGGGTGTGAGTGTCACCTTGGCGGGACACCCTGGGGTGGCGTCACCTTGCCCAGGTGTCCTGAGGTGGCATCACTTTGTCACCCCGTGGTGGCATTGCCTTGCGGGGACACCCTGCGGTGTCACCACCTTGTCCAGGTGTCCTGCGGTGTCACCACCTTGCCAGGACACCCTGCGGTGTCACCACCTTGCCCAGGTGTCCTGCGGTGTCACCACCTTGCCAGGACACCCCGCGGTGTCACCACCTTTTCCGGTTGTCCTGCGGTGTCACCACCTTGTCCAGGTGTCCTGCGGTGTCACCACCTTGCCAGGACACCCCACAGTGCCACCCCCCACCCCCGCAGGGACACGGCTGTGACAGGACCAGGGGGACACCCCGAGCCCCCTCCCCACACCCAGTCCCTGCCCTGGGGGTTCCCCCCACACCCCCAAACCCGCTGCTGTTGATTAATTAACCAATTCATTAATTAATAATGATCATTAACACTGAGCATTCCCCTTGCCCTCCACCCCCGGGCTGCTGCTCCCTATGGGGCCACATCTCCCGGGCCCCAAATTCCCAGGATTTTGCAGGGAAATATTTAAAATAAATGATTTTATGAGAAATTTTCCGTCTTTTTTTTTTTTCCCCCGTTTTTTAGGGAATTCCTATTTATTGCTCCGCTCCCTTTGGAGCGTTTTAAAGGGACGGCTCGGGCGGGGAAACTGAGGCAGGGACAGGTGACAAGTGACAATCCTGCCCGTCCTCCCCTCTCCACCCAATTCTCCTGGAATTTCTCCGATATTTGGGATTTTTCCTCCGCTCTTCCCCAATCCTTTAATTTATCTTGATCCCGCCTCTTCCTGAGCCAGGTGGAGCCAGGACAGGGAAGTGGCCGTGTCCCCACCTCTGGAATTCTGTCCCCAACCCCACCCGGGTTTTGCTTTTCCCTCCTGCCAGCCCCACTCCGGAGGGGATTTAGGGATTTTTTTCCAAGATGGAAAATCCCGGAGGGGATTTGGGGACATTTCGGGCAAAACAAAGCCCGGGCTGGATTTGGGAATGTGGATTTGGGAATATATTTGGGGTTTTCCTGCCTGCTCCGGTGATCCTGAAAGATCCGCGGGAATCCCGGCGCTGCTCCTTTTGCCCGTTTGACCCCAGAAATCCCAAATCCCATCCAAAGTTTTTCCAAAGCTCCTTTCTCCAAAGCGAAGCTGTCGCGGGGGTCGGGGACAGTTTGGGGACACCCCCAGTTTATCCCACTCGGTGCCAGGGGCTCCTCCAGACTGGGATGACTGGAAAACCAAGGCATGGATGTCAAATTTTAAGGGAAAATGTGGGGGTTTTGTGGTTTCTAATGTTAATAAAAGTCACGTCCTGCCTTCCTTCCGCCTCCTCTTCCTGCGGCGCCCCCTGGCCCCGCTCCGGGTGTCGTTGGCCCCGTGGGTGACAACACAGGGTGACATTTCCGAGGCCACCGTTGCCTCAGAGCCCCCGAGAAGCCGTGCAGCCCCTTTTCCCTGTCTTTATTCCTTATCCCAATCCCTTATCCCTACTCACTTTTCCTTATCTTTTATCCCTACCCCGATCCCCATCCCCTATCGCTATCCCTTATCCCTATTCCTATTCCTCATCCCTATCCCTACCCCCATCCCCATCCCGATCCCTATGCCATATCTACATCCCTATCCCTTGTCCCAGTCCCTTATCCCTATCCCATTCCCTTATCTCTATCCATTATCCCAATCCCTTATCCTTATCCCTATCTCTATCTCTATCCCTTATCCCTATCCCGATCCCTATCCCTTATCAACATCCCTATCCCTTATCCCAGTCCCTTTCCCTATCCCATTCCCTTATCCCTACCCCTTATCCCAATCCCTTATCCCTACCCCATTCCCTATCCCTTATTCCTATCCTGATCCCTATCCCTTATCAACATCCCTATCCCTTATCCCTGTCCCTTTCCTCATCCCATTCCATTATCCCTTATCCCAATCCCTTATCCCTATCCCTATCCTAATCCCTTATCCCTATCCCTTTATCCCTAACCCCATGCCTAGAACCGATCCCTATCCCATATCTACATCCCTATCCCAATCCCTATCCCATAGCTACATCCCTATCCCTTATCCCAGTCCCTTTCCCTATTCCTTTCCCTTATCACAATCCCTTATCCCTATCCCAATCCTTTATCCCGATCCCTATGCGTTTTCCCTATTCTTATCCCTTGTCCCTCCCCCTTGTCTCTCTCCCATTCCCTATCCCATTCTCTATCCCATTCCCTATCCCATTCCCTATCCCATTCCCCATCCCTATCCTTATCCCCATCTGTACCCTTTATTCCCACCCCTCTCCCCCTCCCTCTCCTCCCTCTCCCTATCTCTTTCCTTATCTCATACCCATTATTCCTGTCCTTTATCCGTCTCTCTTCGCATTCCCTTATCCCTGTTCATCCCTCTGTCCCTGTCCCTTATCCCTATCCTTATCCCTACCCCTTATCCCTATTCTTATCCTTTATCTCTATTCCCTACCCCATCCCTTAGCCCTGTCCTCATTTCTTATCCCCACGCCTTATCCCTATTCACCCCCTATTCTCTATCCCTATCTCCCTATCCCTATATCCCTATAGCCCTATCCCTATCCCTATCCCTATATCCCTATCTCCCTATTCCTATCACTATATCCCTATCCCTATATCCCTATCCCAATCCCTATATCCCTATTTCCCTATTCCCATCACTATATCCCTATCCCTATATCCCTATCCCCATCCCTATTTCCCTATCCCAATATCCCTATCCCTATACCCCTATCCCTATCCCTATATCCCTATCCCTATATCCCTATGCCTGTCCCTATCCTTTATCCCAATTCCATTCCCTATCTCACACCCCTTATCCCTATCCCTATCTCTATCCCTTAGCCCATTCGCCATCCCTCTCCTATTCCCATTCCTGTTCCAATTCCCGTTCCCATTCCCACTCCCATTCCCGTTCCTGTTCCCGTTCTCGTTCCTATTCCCATTCCCATTCCCATTCCCATTCCCATTCCCATTCCCATTCCCATTCTCATTCCCATTCCCATTCCTGTTCCCATTCTCATTCTCGTTCCCGTTCCCGTTCCCATTTCCATCCCCATTCCCATTCCCATTCCCATTCCCACTCCCATTCCCATTCCCATTCCCATTCCCATTCCCGTTCCCGTTCCCATTCCCATTCCCATTCCCATTCCCGTTCCCGTTCCCCATCCCGTTCCCGTTCCCTGCCCCCATCCCGGCTCCCGCGATCCCGCCTCCGGCCGCTCCCTCCCGCTGTTTACAGCCAACACGGTGTCACCTGTGTCTCCGGTGTCACCTGTGTCGCCGGTGCCACCCGTGTCTCCGGTGTCACCTTCGCTGCCCGTGTCGCGGGCGGGACCGGCGGGGGCCGGGCCGGGGCTACAAAACCCGGGGCGCTGCCGTGTCCTGCCCGGCGGGACCGGGACCGTGACGGCGACAAGGACAGGGACAGGGACAGGGCCATGGCCGCCACCAAGGTGACAGCGGCGGCGACAGAGCTGGCGGCCGCCCGCGAGCACGGGCTGGCCGTGACCCGCGACTTCCACAGCAACCCCCGGCTGAGTGAGTGGAGGACACGGAGGGGACACCGAGGGGACATGGGGGGGACACTGAGGGGACAGCCCCGGGGAGGGGAGGGACATCCCTCTGTCCCCGAGCAGTGGTGACAGGGACGAGGGGGTGACACCGGGCAGGAGTGCGTGGGTGGCACTGGAGCAAGTACAGGGACAGAGGGGTGGCACTGGGACAGGCAGGGGTG